TGAAGCATAGGACACAGAGGGGAGGCACCCAAAGACTCACGTGGAGAAATCAGGAAAGCTTATTCACACCAATGGACTGGAGTCCCTAGTTTAGTTCCTAAATGGATTCTGTTGGCTTTCTAGCATTTTCTTAACAGTTAAAAGATTGGTGGGTTTAAGTCACAGTCTACGTGATTGCCAGCACAGATGCTTACCTGTCCTAAGACTTCCAAGGGCAAACTCCTGCAGGCATGTTTGCTGAAGCCAGGAGGAGGAACGATGCTTATTGGCTTGCTTCCCTGGCCAGTACTCAGCCTGCTTTCTTATACAACTCAAGATCACCTGCTCTGGGGCATCATCACACACTGTACTCTACAATCAAGAAAGTGCCTCACAGACATGCCAACAGGCTAATCCCTTAGAGGTAATTCCCTAGCTGATGAAGGTCTCTCTTCCCAGGTGTGTCAAGTTGACACCTGAAGCCATCCAGCACCAGGAAGGGGTAATAGGGACCAGAATGCAGTTGGACAGGAGGAATAACTTCACTATCCTATAACCCAGGGTATATACAGAATTAACTGTACATTTCTGATGGAGAGGATTTTGAATGTTCCAACACAAAGAAATGATGAATGGGCTAGTTACCCTGACCATTCATTATACCTTGTATATATGAGCTGAAACACACCACGGTACTCCATAAATACATCAGATTCCTATGTGGCAATTAAAATTCAAAAAATAGGACTGTCAAGATGGCTGGGGATAAAGACACTTGCAGCCAAGCCTGACAACCTGAATTCAACCCCTGGAACCCACAAGGTAGAAGTAGAGTACTGATTCCCCTAAGTTGTCCTTTGGGCACAAACATACTAAATTAAAGAAAACAAAAAAAAACTATACATATATACATAATTGTTAAGTTTACCAAACTTAACAAGAAATCATGAAGTTGAGGTAGAACTACAAATTTAAGGCCAGCCTGGGCGACAAAGAAAGATAATGTCTCCAAGTAAATACAATATTTTTCAATATATATTTTTATTGAATTTTTATGGATTTCATACATCTTAATCACATCTAGACCTCCCTCCCCTATCTACAGTGCCCACATAGCCCCCAACAGATCTCATGCATTCTGTCATATATGTTAAGGCCACAAGTCAAGTTTGTGTCCCCACATGTCCCTTGGTGTGAGTTCATCAATTGGAGCCTGGTCTACCTATCCAGCGTCACTCTTTTAAAGAAAGACCAACTCTCTCACCCAGCAGTGATCAGTTGCCAATAATTCCTTGGCTAAGGTTGGGACTTCTTGCCCATTTCCCCAGTTCTATGATGGTTTTTGTCTGATTGAGTTTGCATGGGTCTTGTGCATGCTGTCACCATTGCTGTAAGTTCATATGAGCAAGTTCTCAGAAGCCTGGAAAACTGTTTCTTTGTGGTCATTCATCACCCCAGGCACTTACAATCTTTCTACCCCCCTCTTCTGCAATAGTCTGGACTGAGCCCTGAGTGAGTGAGGTTTAATACAGGAGTCTATCTAAGGATGTGTTGTTTACAGTTTCTTAGTTTCTACATTTTGGCCAGTTGTTGCCTTCTGTGTTCATCACCATCTGTTGCATGAAGCTTGATGAGAGTTGAGAGATGCATTAGTAGTCTCTCTACCCCTTGTTCCACTATGTTCTGTGAGCCTAAGTGTGCTGGATAGCTTTAGTGTCTGTCAACTTGACACACCTGGGTTGAGGGAGCCTCAATCGGGGAATTGTCTTCATTGGACTGGCCTGTGGCCATGTCCATGGGGCACACCTTCTTGACTGTTAAGTGCTGTCGGGGGGCCCAGCCCACTGTGGGTGGTGCCACCCCTGGACAGGTGGGCCTATGTTGCATAGGAAAGCAGGCTGAGTAGGGGCCAGGAGCAGTGTTCCTCCATGGCCTGTGCTCCAGCTCCTGCCTCCAGGTTCCTGCCCTGAGTTCCAACCTTGGGCTCCCAGATGAACTGTGACCCGGGATATGTAAGCTAAATAAACCCTTTCCTCCCCAAGTTGGTATTGGTCAGAATATTTTGTCACAGCGATGGAGAAACAAACTAGGACACTAAGGTATAGAGGTTCCATTGTGGATTTGTCATTTAGGGCTGGACATCTCACAGATGCTGTTTGACCAGTTGTGGAACTCTGAAATAGTTTTCATCTGTTGCAAAAAGAAGCCTCTTTGATGTGTAATGACAGGTATACTTATTAGGGTAGTCTGGAAGTCCCAGGCAGGACATTTAGAAGGGTGCCTAGGGCCAAAGAGGGGGTGGAGACAGTGTGTGTGTGTGGTTCTAACTAGCTTGGCAGAGTAGGTGTGACCCTTGGAGCAGGAGAATGTAGCTGGTCTGGGTACCGGGGGAACAACATGCAGTGGGCAGTCTCAGGCAGGAAGTCCAGAAGGGGGCCTAGGCCCAAGACAGGGTAGTCTGGAAGTCTCAGGCAGGATGATGAGGGGGAGGTGGCACTAGCAAATTAATTGATCTTTCAAAAGTTAAGAGTGTTCTACAGAACTAGTACAGGATCTATACAACTACAACTATATGCTTACCTTTATTGTATAACCTCTCAGACGATGAAAACTGTGATTTTTTTGGTGCATAATTTTTTATTGAGAATTTTATATATGCATACACTGTTTTAATTTAATTCACCCTCCAGATCCTCTCTTATCCCCCACACCACCACTTTCCCTCCCAACTTCATGTGTTTTTTTTTTTTTTTTAATAGAGCATAGGGCAGGAGTTTATTCAGAGGAGTGGGCGCTCCCCATTTGTGGCTGCACTGGAAAGTCCACACTCAAATATAGATCCTGTGACTTCCCAATAGCTGCAGAAAATGGTGAGAGAGGTGGCATTCTTGACATATAGATCCTTAGCCCCTTCCCCACATGCAGCTAAGGTTGACTGATTGGGTGGAAGAGGTAACTGACTCTCCCCTCAACACCTTGATGATGGGAAGGAGGTGTGATTATAGCTTGCTGACAGTGGTCAGAGTACACTTCCAGGTAACACTCCACCCCTTCCTCTGGCTCTTACATTTTTCCCACCAACCTCTTCTGCAAAAGTCCCTGGATTACCCGTCTATAAGCTGTTGGCCTAAGGGGCCCTGGAAGTCCCCCAAACAATAAAGGCCATTGCCAATAACGTTGGTTGTACACTGGAAGTGGACGTGAACGGAGAGACCCTAGTGCTGAAGACACTGCTTGATGTGAGCACAGGAGAGGGAGAAATGAAGCTTGGACTAAGCTGGAGACTCCCTGCTACTGGATGAATAGCTTTCATGGTGCCAAAAGGCGATGCGCAAATGACTCGGGGAGAATTGTCCCCTATAATTCTGCTCAACAGCAGACCTGGCGTATTGCACTATCAACATACCAAACAAGATGTTCCTGTTGGTACAATAGTGGAGTGTCTAGTGTATGTACAACCAGCAAATTTTGATTGGATAAAATGCCCTCTCCTGGGGGTGGAACACCTGGTACTGTAGGCAAGGACAACTCCTTGTGGCAGGGGAGAATATAGGTCCCTGCGGGAAGCCACTGCAATTGTTTTGTTAGATGGATGTGATGTACCTGCTAAAGTGCCATCCAAGTGTTTGTGTTTACACTCAGGTTACATGGAAAACTGACAATGCAGAGACCCAAAAGTTCAATGCCTTGCCACTATAGGAGGAAGATCATCCTACACCTACCACACCCTCCAAGGCTCAGGGACTTTTGTGGAAAAACTATAGATGATTTTTATACACATAGAAAAGAAGTTAATGACACTAAACATTCCATAAGGTTGCTATAAAATCATATACAAATACATGCACACTTCACCATCATGTATTCTCTGAATAATATAAAAGTAAAATAAAGATGCATTTACAGGACCCAAATTCCATGTTTATATATATATATATAACAGTCACAATGCATTTTCATTCCTAAAACTAATTCATGAGACTGCTAAAAGTCTATAAGCGTCTTCCCTGCTGGCTAGCTTTCATAGTATGGGAAGGTGCTAGGCAGGCTGCAATGGGGGAAAGGTCATCAACGGTCCTATCTTGCCCAGCTATGAATGCTTCAAGCTACAAAAATGACCAGCTTGGCAAGATATGCCCATGGGTGCAGTAGTGGCATGAATATTATAGAGGTAAACAACTGCATTCCTGGTACTTTAAATCTAGCCAAGAACCCATGGCAGGGGAACTCACAGGCCCTAGAAGAGAACCTACTACTATTATTTTGCTAAGTGGGGATAGTACCAACTACATTCTAAATATGTATCTCTACACCCATAAATTAGAACAGCTCTTAGACCTCATCAGAGAAGCATCTTTGTACAGTGGGTGTAAGTCAATACAGAAACTCATAACTAGTCAAAGTGTAAAGAATAATTGCTTGGGGAGTTCTCAGCCACAAATGAGACATCTAGATCCCATTCCTTCTCTCCAAGGCTCAGAGAACATCCTGGAAGAAGTATGGGGAAGGACTAGTGCAGAATTGTGTCTCTGAGTATGACAGGGCTGCCAACTCATGGCAGCTATGGTTGCCTGCACAAGATCAAGCCAGTCAACATTCTAGCACGGATGAGGGAGGGGCATAAAACCCCCATCCCTAGCTAAGGAGCTTTCTATTGACAGTTCATGGCTGCTAGGGGAGGCAGAGTCAATTTTATTTAGGGGTGTGGCCCTTGGTAGGTTGACCTTATTCTGGTGGGTGGCCCCACACATGAGTATATGGCTATCACTATTTCAGAATCAGTGGTGAGTTTAAAAAAAAAAAAAAGGAAAGAAAAAAAGACATGAAATTAGGAGGGAGACATAGGGAGGGGTACCCTGGGAGGAGTTGGAGCAGGGAGTAGGAAGGTGAATGCGATCAAAATACATTGTAAATGTTTGAAATTCTCAAAGATAAATTATATTTACATACACACATTTTATATATATATATATATATATATATATATATGTATATGTCTGAAAGTAGCAGAGCCTAGTCAGTTTGTAGTTTCTGAAAACATTTTATTAAATAACTATTAAATAGGATTTTTACAAAACATATTGCATAGAAAAATACAAAAACATTTAGCACACTCTGCATCTCTATGTCATTTTGTGTCAGTCCTAGCTTCTGGAGGGCTGCCACATATGATCAATGTGGAGAGTCACTGATTCTATTTCTCTCAGTGTGGCTGGTGCTTCCTAGGGAAGGGAGGTGTTGGCACTGCAGAGTTAGTATGTGTCCTGGGAGCACCCGCTGTACAACGCTGGCCTCAGATTCAGCTCTCTTGTGGGTGGAGGTCAGCTCTCGGGTAGAATGTTTCATGACTCAGGAAGAGTTGAGCAGCTGTACAAGACTTTCAAGGCATTTCAAATAGTAGGCATTTAGAGTGTTTTCTTCTAAGCTGGAGAAAGCTGATAAAGAAAAATAAGAGTTATAAATACCAGTTTATTAAACTGAGTGCTACACAAGAGTAGACACTCCTACACAAACCTATGAAAAAGAATTATTCATAAGCTGTTTATTTTCTGCGGTACTAGAAACTTAGATGTTTTACATTTACAAAACTAAGATGTCACAAAATTTCCATTCATTTCTTATCATTGGTTTATCCAAAGCATATATAAAAAACACATCTCCTTACAGAGATGCTTATAATAAACTACAATCCCAAATTAATATTATTTCTCACATACCATCCCCCATAAACTTTAATGTAACAGAATTCCCCCACTTCCTCCAGTAATGAAGGAAACTAGAAACAAACCAAAACCTCTATCCCTCTTTGGAAACAAATATTAATAACTAGAAGAACCATGACAGTACAGAAAATATACTTTTTTATCTTGAAATTAAAATATGTTCAGAGGATAATGCTCACTGAAAACTAGTTCCACTTGAATAGCATGCTCTGAAAAGAAAACCTCTCAAATCATGATCACAGACCACAGAGCAATGTGGATACAGGGGCAATCGAATCTTGGAAGATTTCAACTCACTGATGTTAAATCAGTTTTTTTTTCTCCAAGGTCAATTCTAATTGGGCCCAGTTCTTATCACCTAAGAACACACTTTAGCATAGTAGCAGTCACTGGCAAAGAAAATTCAGTTCAAGAAAAAGATGACTTGGAGAAAGATCAAAGACCCATTTAAAGAAAATTCTATATCTCACATATTCATCTAGCAGGGCATTTTATTACATACAAAACAAACTACAATGAAAAACATGCACTAAATATGGGTCCATTGATAATGCTCTGACAATGAAACTTCCCAAAATCCAGCTAAACAATGGATTAAAAACTATCATTTTTCAATGGCTTATCCAAATATTTCAGTAACTAGGGAATACACTCAATATTTCCAAATTTAACGTAAGCTCTTCAATAATAATAAAACTTACCTCTCTTTGCTATGGAATATGCTTCATCTACTCTTCTTTTTATCAATGGATTTTTCAAAGTTGTTTTTGCCTGGAGATAATATAAGACAATCCATTAGATTATTAGATTTATTCCCATAGGTTAAGGATCTGGAAAACACAGTACTAATTGCTCATCACTAACTGTAGTTTTAAACAGGATACAGTTTGAATGACTTTTACAATATGGACATACTCTGAAATAAGGACTTTACCTAACCTTGCAACCAAAAAGTTACTTTTTGTAATGTAAACAAGTTCACTGAGCCCTGTGCTCCTCTTGTGACCTGGGAATATGACCTTAATTCCTTGGGCCCTTCTCGCCCTACACCCAAGATAGTGTATGACTGTGGGAATGCATGATACATATCAAAGCATCAAAGTGCTGCAGACAGTGTACTTATCTCATTGAAAGCAATGAGAGAAATTTATAACATCTATTTATGATTGTGTGTGTGTGTGTGTGTGTGTGTGTGTGTGTGTTCGTCTAGGTCTAGGGATAAGAAAGGACAAGGTTCTCTGAAAAGATAAAGGTCTTTCATTTCCCCATCTCATGCTAGACATACTGTTTCAATAAAGAATGAGAAAAACCCTTGCTTGAGAGGGCAGTTGTGAGAGCAATCTGAAGGTTCAGGTTCTCAGTAGTTCAGGTCTGCTCTTGGCATTAAAACGGATGCTAAGAGTCAAGTTATTGGGGTTGGATAGATGGCTCAGTGGTTAAGAGCACTGGTTGTTCTTGCAGAAGACCCAGGTTCGAATCCCAGCACCAACATGGTGGCTAACAACCAGCCATAACTCCAGTTCCAGGGGATGTGATGCCCTCTTCTGTCCTCCGTGGGCACTGCACAACATAGGTGCACTAACTCACATGTAGGCATAACACTCATACACATAAAATAAAAATAAATCAAAAAAAATTTTTAAAAGTCAAGCTATCTTTTTGTTCTGCATAGCCATAATGTTGCTTAGAAATGCAGCATGTAGTAAGGTACAATAATGGAAACAGAGTGAGCCACGAGTACAGCCTACAGGGCCAAGCATACTGCACCTTCTGAAGTACTCTTTCCACCCATCTTTGAGCTAGTGTGGTCCCTTTCCTACAGTCAGTGATTCTCCCTTAATCTCAACTTATTACTTTAGAGTAATTGAGCTTAGAGAATTTCATATTATCTCAAATATTATGAGTTCAGATCAAATACTTTAAACATTACCAGTTGGTCAGTTGTCCAACAAATATATTCTGAGTGTTTACAAAGGGCCCAACCTGTGTTTAGCTCATGCACCAATGTGAGGACAGAAGCACCCTGGCCTCTGGGGAGGAATCACACAGGCATGAGTGGTCAGCTGAGAGATGTCATCTCCAGAAGGCTCGTCTGTCCTACCACTATCATCTGGCTACTGGTTATCATCTGTGCTACCACTAGGTACTTCTGGGTATTTCTCTTGGGAGTGAAACTATGCAATCAGAGAAAGAATGGACACAGTGCCCACTTGCTGCCACTCTCTCTGGGCAGGCTCTGCGCTCCAGTCTCACAAGAACTGAACTAATTTCAAAATTAAGTAGTGATATGTACAAGAGAAAGGCAAGTCATCTTTGGATAAAACTTACTTAGTCTTCAATCAAGAAGCAGTTTTCCTTGATATATCTTTACAAAGAAATAATCTGCACTAAAATTACAACAAATTGGCAAATTAATTTAAATGACCAGGGAAAACTTACTTAAAACAAAAATACCTTTATGAACTAAAATGTCCTGATGGAATGATTAAGTGAAAAAAAAATTAACGGATGGACTGCTAATTTCATGAATAAACAAAGGGGACATGGGTTGGTGACTCATTTTTACCTTTGGCTGCTACTTCTCGGATATTCTTGGACATATCCTTAGAGACCTGGCTGTTTAAGTGCCCCAACTCTCCTCTTAACTACTTTAAAAACTGACCTTTGGATAATTGTAAAGCAGAGCCCAGAGTGAAGCTGCTCCAATCCTCTGGGCGCTATGATTCTCACTTTCCAGACAGGTAGCTAGAAGAGCAATGACTTTCTCTAAAAACCAACACATTGAAGAAAAAACATTTCAGTTCTTCACATTATACTATAGTCTTGCCTTGAACTAATCCCATTATAATAAATAGAATGAATACCACATTAGAATAAATGTATAAAGTTGTTATCAAACAACATCTTTTATAATTTATAGCATGTTGAAGGACAATCTCAAAACAAATTGTCTTCACACCAGGCATAGGTAATCTGGATAGAAAGGCTCTCTTAAAATTTTTTGTTCAGTTTCAGCAAAGGCTTCTGTACTGAAACATAACTGTGAAAAAAATAAGTATATTACACATTATCTTAAGTTATTATGTTAGTGGCCCCATTTTTCTTATGTAGGAAAATAGACTGGCTGTCATAAAGTCATAATCACCATTATACAAATGGCTTGGTATACCATGAAATAATCAATAAATATCACATTCATTCACTTTGAAAAAGAACTAAGTATTATAGAAGAATTTCATATGTGTGTATCACAGAAAAATTTGATTTGATGACATTTCAACACACTAAAAATGTTCTTCTTTTGCAAAGTTACCATAGGGGAGAAACCAAGACTTAACTAATTACCCACACCAGTTTGCCAGTTTGATCATTTTAAGTGAAGATCTAGATAGGGAAGAGTGTTTAAATATGATTAAGATGTATGAAATGCATAAAAATTCAATAATATATATCTTTTAAAAGACAATTATAAGCAGTGGGCTAGAGAGATAGCTAAGTGGTTAAGAGCACTGGCTGCTCTTTTAGAGAACCTGGGTTTGGTTCCCAGCACCCACCACTGTGACCTCTTCTGGTCTCCAGGGGCATTGCATGACATGCATGCACTTACATACATGCAAGCAAAACACTCATGCATATAAAATAAAAATAAAAAAATAAAAAGAATTACAAATAAATTAGTAAGAGTGAGATATAAATGCCATGAATTCAAGAAATGCTAAATCAAGGCTGATTTAGTGGTAAGGCTAAAAGACATTTCAGTATAATGAACATACCCTGCAGAGGGCATGAAACAGTTTCAGCATGTTGCCGCCAGGGTGCAATTTACTGGGAAAGGAGATTAGGATGAAATTATATTGGTCAAATCATAACTGAATGGAAATTACAAATTTGCTATGGATATAAAAGTTTAGGAAAAAATTGATTATTCTGTAGTGTGGGAATCAACTGGTCACATGGATTTTAAAGTAGGTACTTATGGACTATTATTTCTGTGTGCTACATATCTTTTATATTGCTAAAATTTATATGTAAATATGTATCAAACACAATACAACTTCTGTGTATGTTCAATGTGTGTTCCATCCCTTTCATGTTCTGAGAGCTAGTAGCTAAATATTTACCAGAACATTCTTTATCCTTTCAGGATTTGCTAACAAGGTTCTATGAGCTTCATCACATGAACAACTCTCCTCTTTCTCTGCTCTCTGGAAGAGTCTGTGTATATTTGGAATTACACTGTTCGGTGTCTGGCTGAACTCACTGGTCAAGCCATTTGGACCTAGGATTTTCTATGTGGTTAGATTTTTTTTTTAAATTTATGTCTTTCAATTAAGTTTTTGGCTTTCTATTTCTTCTTGAATAAATGTTTTAAAGTTTTGTGTGTGAAGGCAAGTGCCTACTTCATCTTCCCCCCAAATCCACTAAAAAGTGTTAGGAATTAAATACTTATATTTATCTGTTTGGAATTACCTACGTCTCTTGAATTAGTGTATCAGTGTCCAGAATGGCCCTGAAAACTTTTAACTGTCTCCCTCTCCTCTCTCTAGTGACAGCATCTCCCCATAGCCCTGGCTGGCCTGGAACTCACTATAGACCAGGCTGGTCTTGATCTCACAGAGAGATCTGCCTGCCTCTGTGTCCTGGGACTGCAAGTGTGCACCACCATGCCTGGCTCATTATCTCTTTTTTACTTATTCTTCCATTCTTTTTCTTTAGAACTTTGCTAAAACATATAAGATTTTTGGATGTGTTTATTCTATCACTTATATTTTATATTTTTAATCCTTTCTCATCTTTTTAGAACTGCTGCATTCAATTTTTTTCTGACCTATTTTCCAACTCCTAAATTCTCTCTTCTGCTATATCATTAAGAGTAGATATGTATATTAATATCTAAAATTTGGCTATTAAAGCTCTAAAATAATGTTGTCCAATAGAACATTCTACAAGAAATGCATTTATAATGATCAGTATAGTCGATGACATTCACTGGTCACATGTAGTTAATGTGACTCACAAACATTTTGATTGATTTAAGTAGCTGCCTGTGGTGATTCATAATTTCATTGCTCAGTGAAGGCCTAGAAGTTCTATTTCACTGTTTCAAAACTTTCAAGTTTTTAGTTTACCTGTTCCTGAAAACATCTACAAGCTTGTCAGTTGTGTATATGTTCATATACTCATGACATACAGTTGTTTTAAGTCTGTATTTTAGAATTCTAATATTTGAAGTCTGGGTAGGGAAGTTGGTATTTTTTTTTCCTCTGTTGATTCTTACTCTGGTCAACAAATTTCCCAATGTACTTAATTAGGAGTTAGAGTTATCTGCCCTGGTTGTGCTCTGAAAAATTATTTCTGGAGAATTCCTTAGGTGTAGCATGAACTTGTCCTTCATTCATCAGAGAAATTTTACTTCTGCCAAGACTCTGGAGCACTATCAAACAACTGAGAATCACTTCAAATCGAGTTCAGTGCTTACTCAGACCATGTACCCTGGATAAAAAGGCTGGGAAGGGCAGTCTACAGTACTCATCCTTACTGATTTTGTTTTTTCTTTTCTTTGTAGTTGCCTGGATAAGGATTGGGAGACTACCTTAATTCTGATCTACTTTTCTCCTACAAGAATGGTTCTTTGGGCTTCTAGTTTCATACAGGAAGGACAGGAGGTAACAGTACCTCCTCAGAGAATGTTTTATCTTCTTGATGCTCCAGAGTAAAAGCCAAGTAATGATACTGGTAAATTTCCTTGAGGCAAAGAAGCTGTCCATCTGGACACAAGTTTTCAACCAAAACTGGCCTACAAGTTTACCACTGCCTTTTCCATTCTTGGATTACTTTAAAGTGAATTTTTAGGGTACTTACTCAGCATGTTTTTATAGTTTTCAGAAGACACTTAACTCTGACACTACCAGAAACAGAATGCTATGGATATTTTTAGCAGTCAGGTCAAGCCCAGTGCATGCTCCATTCCAACAATCTATACCAGCTGTCTGGTGCTACTGCTCAGAGGCATGTAGCTTGCCTTGCTAAGTAGGTAAGCAAGCTGACTCTGCTAAAGCCTCCTCCCTGGCTCACCATGTGAAAGGCAAGGCAATGCCTATGACAAGCCCTTAAATCTGCACAGCTGCCTTCTCTCACCCACTGAACCCACTGAGCACAAGGGTGTGGGAGCTGGAGAAATAAGTTCTATCTGCTTTACAGGGACGGGGGAGAGGAAACACGGCTGACTACGGGGAAATGTTAAAAAAACAAAAAAATCCAAAGACCTATAAGTTAAAAGTGTAGACTTCTTTAGTTTCCTAAAGCCTTTCTTTTATCTGACTCTTTCAATAGTAAGACTATAGTATACAGTCCCCTAAAGTCGGGGAAGGGCAAGAACTTATTCTACCGAGTAGCTTCTGTGTATCAGGACTGGCAGTAAGATGATCCACATGCCACCTCATACCCAAGGTAGGGCTTATTTTCTTCCTTACTTTACAGATGTCAGGACCAAAGCAGATACGGTGGAAGAATATAGAAATAAAACCACTGATGTACATCTCCCAGTGGTGGAGAGCACTGTCAGCAGAGGAGTGGTAGGAGGCTGAATACAAATCCACAGTCAACTCAGGTAAGTTAAAAGCTGACTGAAATTCAACCATTTTCTTCATGACATTTCCATACAGCAATTCTATAACCGTTACCAGAAAAACAGAAGCACAGGAATTTCCATTTACTTGGAAAAGTGCATTTCGTGGAGGAAAAGCCTTTGAGAAAAATGAGGTCCAAAACATGAAGAGAACATATTCAAAATCTACCATGTATTAGAAATGGGGCTGGGCGCATTCTGTGTTTTCATAAACTAATTCTTACCAAACAAAGAAGGCAGTACTCTGTGAATGGGGAAATTAGACACAGAGAAGCTGCCCTGGATGAGGGAGGCACAGAGGACCAGATGGATGCAGGTCTAGAAGCTACCTCCTTTTTGCTGTCTTTCTTTCCATCACCATAATACAATGTCTCCCATTAAATTCCACCCGAAATCACAGTCCTTACACAGAGGTAGTCATGCTCTCAGAAACAGACCTTTCCAATTCTTTTTGTTTCAATTTTTTCTGACCCCTTACAAATCCTTGCCTACATTTATACTACATCCTGGAGAATAAAGTTTCTGTAAAGTTAATTTTACCACCTTGGTGTGGCCTTCAACTCTGCCCCTCAGTATCTCTCTCAATCACCAAATGCTTATGGAGTGCTTACTGGTGACAGGCACAACTCTAGGTACCACACATAAACAGACAAAAGCCTCTTGACCCCATAGTGCTTATGTTCCAGTGTGAGAGGCACAGGCATAAATAGCTACACACATAAAATACAATGTATATCAAACAGTGATCATGTGATGAGGTAAACGGTACAGGGAGAGGGAGAGGGAGGGGATAAGAGGAAGGATGAAGGGGACAGGGTTACAATTACAATAGCTGTTCTGAGGAGTCTTCATTGTCAAGACAGAAAAGAGATGAAGGGGAGGGTAGAACAGGGGCAAGATCAAGATCATAAAGAGACAGAAGGGAAATAGCCAGTGAGGTCAGAGAGTGCCCTGCCCATGGCAGCTCTTCCCCAGCTACCTCATGCATTCAACGTGTCCATTGGAATGACAGGATTTATCAAGCTCAAGATGCCAGGCAGCCCATGAGGCTGGAGCCATGTCTGAATCATGCCCTCTCCCCACTGTTCCTGCCTCCCACAGAGCCTTGAGCACAGCAGTTGTTCAATAAATACCTGGGAAATTATAAAGCTCTTATGTATTTTAATCTGAATAGAAGTCTATGCATAGCAAAGTGTCTGAAGTATATGCACCCTGTGTATACTTACCATTAGCTAGGATCTTGGGCTTATTAGCAGGACTGAAGCAAATGTTATGAAAAATAAGCAGAGGAATATAAGGGCTACTCTTATGCCTGTACTTGCTCATTTCTGTGAGTAAGTCTAAGCTGCCATCCAGCCTCAGGATCATTTGTTGCCCATCTTCTCCAAATGACAGATTCAGCAGGAACTTCAACCAAAGGACGGTTAGATTGCTGAGATGCTTATTTCCTCCTTTTGGCAATGTTACAGACAGGAAGTTCTGTAAGAAGTTACTCTACGGGTAAATACAGAGAATATTACTTTCTTTTCAAGCCTTTTTCACTATTTTCCTAGTCCCTTGGAGACCAATTAACTAGCATTTTGATACCTTTCCCCAATTTTAATTTCTTCTTCCAAATACCTTCTAAATACTTTACACTATTTCCAAGTACAAATAGGAGGGCAAGAATAGTAAAATAGTTATAAAATATTATTTCCTGCTAATTTTTCCTCCTGATGAAATAAACTATAGTCAACTCAATTATTTAGGACTGATAATTCAGAGCAGGAATGATTTCAGGTCTGTTGAGTTTTCCATTTCTGACTGCCTTCTGGCAAGTTTGCTACTACTCATTAAAAGACGTCCCATGGTGAAGAAAAGAAACAAAACTCAAATCAATCCTGGAAAGGAGCTAACAAATCTGATAGTAGTGAAAAGTATTTAGTATTATAGCTACAAGTGTTTTCTTCTTAAATCTATGGACATACTTTAATATTCAATTTATCCTACTTGCTTATCATTACAGGTAATTTTGCATGGCTACATGTCACTCTATTAAATTTAAAGATGAGAAAGTTCTATTTCTCGAACTGTAGGAGTCATTTCAACCTTCAAATAAAGTCCCTTACACAAGACCCTACCAACCCCTTAACTATATGAAAGGTAATAATTACTGTTCAGAGTAATCTACATGCAAACAGAATACAAACGGGTAATAGAAGGCAGAGGCCTACAGTGATCGTATGGAAACCAGGGTCATTGTGACACTTCAGAAATAACATGTATCACCTGACTTTTATTCCTGTACAGAATGACTGCCTCTCTCCTCCCCTTCACCACTAAGCTACACTAGCTTATCTCTTGGATTTTTCTGGACTGAAATCAACATGTTGGCTTAATCTATATGTTTAATTTTAATGTATCCACACAAAAAATCTTTGTGTATAAAAATGAAATGGACTATGGAAATACTAGCACATTACCAAAGCAGTAAAGCTACTGTGAACCACAAGCCCTCTCTTAAATGCATTTGCTTTTCATCTCTTGGCACAAATTGAGGTCTTTTTTGATCCATATGTTGCCTTTTCCATTTAGCTATATCTACCATGATATTAGAGACTTGGGCTGACAACAGTGACAAAATGAGTGTCAGTGCTTCAAAACAGAACATGCTGTGGGCATTCCTTCTTTTCATTGGCTGTAAAAATGGTTTTAAACAATTTTATACTCCAGGTAGAAGGAAAAGCAATGTACCATGGGGGGAAAAATGAGACATTTCAGAGTTGTACAACAGCACTACTGCATTTTCTAATGGCTACTGATGAGTAATGGAGAGGCAGGACAGCAAGTGTCCAGGGTTACTACTACTTAGTGCAGCAAAGCAAGTCTCAGGAGCTTCTAATTAGAGCAAAGGAAAATGACTTGATTTATGTGCTCTGCAAATGGATCATAATCACAGATGTATCACAATATTCTTAAGTATAGCACAGAATCATAAACTGAGTTGTAGATGCCTTAGCAATATTCTGCTTTAATTATAAAAAAATAAAGCAATAACCTTGAAGCTTAAAGAAAATAATTCTCCAGCTCAGAGTCATATACCAGACTTGACACTAGCCCTGGTATTTTGCCTGGTGGCTCCTACTTTCCATCCTACTAATATGCTATACAAGGAAGTGGTAGAAAGTGCTATTGATCTCCACTATGCCAACATGTACACACCTCTCATCCTGAAGGGAAGAAATCATGTATATCTGGTTCAAGGTGAGAGTTCTCTTTTGGAAGTGAACTGTTATGTATGAATACATATATGAAGAAAATATATTCAAATATATACACAAACATGATGTGTGTAGCATACATGTATATAAAAATGCATATGTGCATATACATATATGTATGGCATATATATGAATATGCAAATGTATGAATGTTATACATATCAATGTGTATATGAAGAAAACTATTCAGATGAGTGCTGGTAAATAAACAAATGCACTGGATTGGTGAGGATAAGGGAGAAATCACTGATTTGTAGTGTTAATCAAATTGCATGGTATGAATGCTCCCACTATGACTGTTTTCAAAATAACATCACATCAACTGATGTGAGAAATTTCTGAAAACTTAATGATGACACTCATGAGAGAGAGGGAGGTGGGTATAATACATCACTGAAAATAGTTTCAGAATAAAACCCATCACTCCATTTCCTTAGCAAAACAGACACTTCTATTTATTTGGTGATTATACTCATAAGTATCTTTTGGGTGTTCAGAGATATGATACAGTAAAGAAGGAGACTCAACCCCTATGAATTTTGTCTGTCAACCACCAAGCAGAAGAAACAGAAGCACTCAAAATCACTATTATTACAAAGGAAATAAAGGGGATACAAACTGGAAAGGAAGAAGTCAAAGAATCCTTATTTGTAGGTGATATGATTCTGTACATAAAAGACCCCGAAGACTCCACCAGAAAACTCCTAGAGCTGATAAATACATTCAACAAAGTAACAGGAAATAAATTAATCTTCCTATATAGCAACAACAAATGTACTGAAAAAAGAAATCAGGGAAACAATCCCATTCATAATTGTCTCAAAAACATAAAATATCTTTGAACAATCTAAAAAAAGAAGTGAAGGAATTGCATAATAAAAAAATTAAGACATTGAAGAAAGAAATGAAAAGATATCACAGGATGGAAATACTTTCCATGCTCATGGATCAGTAGGATTAATGTGAAAATAGCTGTCCAACTGAAAATGATCTGCAAACTCAATGCAAAATCCATTAAAATTCTGACACAATTCTTCTCAGAATTGAAAAAATAATCTCAAATTTCATATGGAAACACAGAAAACCCAGGGTAGCCCAAAAAATCCCAAGTAATAAAGAACTGCTGGAGGTACTACTATCCCTGATCTCAAATTATACTACAGAGAAATAGTAATAAAAACAGCATGGTATTGGCAAAAAAGCAAACACAGTGATCAGTGGACTGGAATTGAAGACCCAGATTTAAATCCATACAGTTACAGCCACCCAATTTTTGACAAAGGAGCCACAAATACTAGAGAAAAGACTGCATGCTCAACAAATGGTGCTCGTCAAACTGGATAAGGGCATGTAGAAGAATGAAATGAGATCCCTATCTCTTACCATGTGCAAAACTCAACTCCAAATAGATCAAGGACCTCAACGTTAAGACCTGATACACTGAATTAGATGAAGGAGAAAGTAGGGAATGCACTGGAACTTATCGGCACAGGAAAGGAATTTGAACACGACCCCTATAGTGCAAGTATTAAGTCCAAAAATTGACAAATGGGACTCATGAAACCAAAAAGCTTCTGTATAGCAAAGAACACTATCATTTGAGTGAGAGGTATACAGAAATGGGAAAAAATTTAACCAGCTATACTGTTGACAAATGGTTAGTATCTAGAATATACAAAGAACTAAAAATACTAAACATCAAAAAAAAAAAAACCTATCAACCCAATTAAAAATTGGAGCAAGTACATGAACAGGAAGTTCTCTAAAGATGAAATGCAAATGGCTGAGAAATACATTAAAAAAAAATGTTGCTTGCTGCTAAAGGAATCGCTAAGGTGGCACCAAGCAGCCCCAAATGTGAACAAGCAAGCTCTGCTCTGGCACTGTTCCGAGACCCTGAGGCCACAGGTCATACACACAGAGGTTTGAAGGCAGTGCCTGAGAAATACTTTTTCAAAATGTTGAACATCTTTAGTCATCAGGGAAATGCAAATTAAAACCACTTTGAGATTTCTTCTTACTCCAGTCAGAATGGCTAAGATAAAAAACAATGTCAAATCTGGTCATGATGTAAGGAAAGTGGAACTCTTGTGAGTTCATGTGAGCTCATAGCAATGATGAAAGGAAGGGCAAGTCCCACCTAAGATTAAGGTGGGCAAAATCCCAGCATAGCCACGGGGAAGTGGGTAAGAAACCTCAGCCCTACCCGAGGAACTACTGGCAACAGAAGAGATCAAGTCTTGTTTAAGGATGAGACTCTTGGTAGGTTGACCAGGCTCCAGTGGATAAACCCACACCATAGGATATTTGAGGACACAAACCTAACTCCAGAATGTAAAATGCGTGTGTGTGTGTGTGTGTGTGTGTGTGTGTGTGTGTGTAAAAATAAATTTGGTAGGGGAGTTAGTAAGGGGGGTGCATATACGGGAGTAGATCTAGATATAATCAAAATGTTTGAAAATTTAAAAATATCAATTAAAAATTAATTTAAAAATCACCATTAGTAAATGATAATTTGATCATATTAAAAATTTAAGAGAGTTTTCCTAACTAGAGACTCTGTTTACACTTAACCAAAGATGCTCTTACTTCACATGTATATTAGAATGTTTCACTCAATTCTGTCTCACCTCCTCTTCTCCTGGCACCCCAGACCTCTTGACTACCCTCTTGGCCCAGACTGCTCACTACTTCCGACCCTTTGCACCCAGGCCAACCCAATTCCTCAGTCTAGTCCCGTGGAGCCCTCAAAGCCTGCCCCCCCCCGCCCCACACTCACCTTTGCACACCTGAGACCAGCCTTCATTCCTGGCTGTCCCACCACCCAACCTGCCTGGGATTCCTAAGGCCAGCCAGCATCCTTCCTGGGTAAGTTTGACCCCACCCACTTCACTTTGATTCCCATAACCTCATTCAACACCCCCAGCTCCCACATCTCATCTTGCCTTCTAGTGTAGGCAGTGGCCCACTTCTTTTCTTGGTATCCCAGACCTCTGGACTACCCTCTCAGGCCAGACTCCCCATTGTTTCCTGACCCTCTGCACCCACATCAACCCAATTTCTCAGTCTAGTCCCCTGGAGCCCTCAAAGCCTGTCCCCACCCCCACCTCGCCTTTGAACACCTGAGACCACCCTCCTTCCCTGACTGCCTGAGAGTCCTGAATTTTACCTCTACCTAGCAAGCCTCCCAAATTGTACTGTGCCTGCTGACCAGAGGCATCCAAACCTTAGAAG